TTTATGGATTAATTTACAGTCTTTAACAAATATAGGAGAAAGTGACTTATAACAGAAAGTCTAGAAAGCTACTTCCTGGTAGCTGTCTGCTTAGAAATGTGAAATTCTTGGTGGAAAAACCAAACATTTTGAGTAAACATAGAAAAAAAAATCAGAATGCCAAGAACTGCATAATATGAAGACTTGTATGCAAAACAATCTTTACCATTAGAGAATGATAATTCCTGAGCACAGGGTTGGATTTCTGTACCTAGTGAGCACTGTCATCTTCATAAAAGGAGCATACAGGAAAGTGTTCCCTACTTACGATAATATACTATTTAAAAGTTCACTTTTTTCAATTCTGAGTTAATTCTATGACTGTCTAAAGATGCTGCTGTCTTATCTTTAAGACTGTTAACTGTATGATGCTGTTTCTGTTCAAATACTACAATTTATCCTTTCGTATAGGCTCTAAGTGGGTTGGTGCTTCTTTTAAGTTCTCTTGGGATGGACTAAGTTCTTGCCTCTTGCCACTCTATTCAGAGAAGAAGATATTCCTTTTTTGATAAAAGTTTAAGTACAATTCCTACGGTGACCATGGATAAATCAATCCAGTTTTGGGGGGTCTTTCTAGACATACATGAGCACAATTAGCCCTCCACATTTGTGGCTTTGATTATTTGTGGTTTTGATTAATATGTTCACTCTAGGAATCTCCAGGTCCTCCAGTACAATTCTGCCAGAAGTTGACAATCGAGTTGTGCTGGACAACATAGAAGTTCCTAGAGAAGACATTTCTCTAGGCATTTGTAGGTCCTCCAACGTGATTCTATGATCAACTTCTGGCAAATGTTGACCATAGAATTGCACTGGAGGACCTGGAGATTCCTAGAAAGGTGTTCTCTCAGGTAGAAAGAATAGTGTTTTTTATTTATGGTTTTTCCACATTCACAGGAATCCTTCACCCCTAACCCCACTGAATGTGGAGAGACAACTGTATATAGAGCAAGAGTGGCATAGTGGTTTGAGTGTTGGACTACAACTCTGGAGACCAGGGTTCGATTCCCAGCTCAGTCATGAAACCCGCTGGATGACCTGCAAGTCACATGCTCTCAGTTTCTCAGGGAGATACACAAAAGATGATGGGGAAACAAGATCTATCTGGTCTTGCCCTAATTTGAGCATGGCATTAATCTTCTGTGTATCCAGCACCAATCCAATAGACTGGAGGATAAACTTCCAAGGAGTTTGAGTCAGGACACAGTTCACAATTGCTTTTAATAACTGAGAATTAATTACTTGATCCTGAGAGCCAATCCAATAGCACTTGCTGTTATAAAATGTCCAAGCCTTACTTTAACCACCTCAGTCATGACTAAGATAATCAACTTCTGCCTGGGCTTTAGAAATTTGGAGTACAGTTAGTAGTGGCAGAGTTTACTCAACAAAATACTTGTGTACATGTGTACTCACAACTATTCCTTTTACTTAGAAAACTAGCATAAGATAGCAAGATCTAATTTTTTATAAGAAGGAAATGTCTTACTTCCCAAGGTTCTCTCTGAGCAACTGAGTCCTGGCACTTTCTGCTTACAAAGCATGAGTCCTACCACTATTATCGTCGTTGTTGCTGTTTATTTGTATAGCACCATAAATTTACACGGCTCTTTACAGATACAATAAATGCAAAACATTAAATCCTGTCAGAGGCATATAATCTAAGAAATAATAAATATAAAACTATGGCACTGAACTTATGGTCCCTTTCTTCATGCCTTCAGTCCTGGTAATAATGCAAGTGTTTTGGTGGTATATGACAGTACAGTGAGCTCTTGGAATCTGCTGAGGTTTGGTTCCAGGACCCCCAAAGATACAAAAACCCATGGATGCTCAAGTCCCATTAAGCACAGTGGCATAGTAAAATAGTATCCTTTAGATAAAATGGCAAAATTAAAGTTTGCTCTTTTGAATTAATATATTTTTGGAATATTTTCAAGCCATGGATGGATTAATCTGTAGATCAGGGGTAGGCAACCTTTTTTACCTTGGGGACCATCCTGCGAAGTCCCTCCAACCGCTGAGCTGAGGGGGGAGGAATGGTGGCGTGCGCGCGCATGCACACCCCCCACACGCTGCCGCCGCTGCCGCACAGCCGCCTCCGCATGAGTATTGCGCATGCGCAAACGTGTCGCAACCGCCATTCTGATTTCCAAAATGACGGTCGCAGCGCGCGTGGCTGCGCGGCAGCAAAAACGCGCAGCAGTGCGCGTCGGCGTCAGCAACCTTCTGCCTGGCCAGTAAGTCCAGGGACCTGGGCCTTAACCAGCCCTCGGGCCGTAGGTTGCCGGTCCCTGCTGTAGATAAAGAATCCATGGATACAGAAGGCCAACTATGTTTGTTCTGTGTGTGTATGTGTTTTAAATTTGGGAATAAATGAGCTATTAGTATCAAACCTTGTGGGAGCCCCAACAGATAAAACATATCAGCCCTGACTGTACCATATCACGGAAATGCAAAAGAAATTGAAGTTTGCAGAGGAAAGGGTCCAATTGTTTTATTTCTTTAAAAAAAATTCCTCATGCAGAGAGAAGACAAAGTTCAAGGTTATTTTTACATAATCATTTCCCTTGGGGGAAAGAGAGCATTCATTAGCAACATATAGTATATTTGTCATGAACAGGATGAACAAGCACAGGGCACAAAAGCAACCACTGGGCATTGTTAGTTACAATCTTGACTGCCAAAATTCATGCCAGCAATTTGCCAGCCAAATTGGTTATAGTTCAATAGTTCTTCTGCAACTATTGATCTCTCCTTGCATATAAACTACAAGTTTAGATCATAATTTAATCAAGCTTAGTATGGGCAAGCCAATCCAGGCCACTACCAATGGCCTCAATATCCTTTCCAGAAGCTTCAAAAAACCATTAGTATCTACTGCTTTCCATCCAAGACAGCAAAACTGGGGGGGGGGGGGGGGGGGGGGGGGGGGTGTTGTCTCACAACAACACACTTGCATCTTCACTGTGAAAGAAAAATCTTTCACCAAATAATTTCCTCCTCCTCCCCCGCCCCCACCATTTCTAACCAGGCAACAGGAGAGTGGAATGAAACATTTCTCCTCTCTCCCCAACAGATATGGAACGGAGATTTTGAAAAGACCAACTTCACAGCAGCCACAAAATCAGCAGGCAGTAGCTGTCGATGGAAGGAAAGCTTCTCAGTGATGCATTTTATTACAATATGATCAGGCACCAATTGTTTATCTGAAGGCATTCTCCGCCATATGATTACCATGTGATGATAACCACCTTGCTTGGCTTTTCTTGATTTTACATTTCACGACACAGGCCTCACCACTATAATGGGGGACTATTTCACACTACAGGAAAAAATTACTAAAATGGGTGTTACTGCCCATTTTTGCTGTTCACTCCCACCCCCTTCGGCTTTCTCGCTCACTCACACACAGACATCTGGTCACTAGCAACTCCCTCTGCCCACTCTCCTTCATTCTCCTGCGGTCTCAGAAGATACTGAAACCTCAGACCAGAGGTGGAGAACCTGTGTCCCCCCTAGATCAAGGGTAGGCAACCTTTTTGAACCAGGGGCCGAGTTGCTGTCCCTGAGACAATTGGGGGGCCGAAGCACCAAAAATAAATAAATTAATAAATAAATATATTTTTTTTAAAAATAATTTAAAATTTAAAAAATATGCATGCACACTCTCTCAGGCCCAGAAAAGCCATGGCAAAATCCCTATGGAGATTTTGCCAAGAAAACCCCAAGAACAAGTAATAACAACAATAATCAATATCATCATGGCGGGCAGTGGTGGTGGCGGGGGGTGGCGGCGGCGGCAGGACCAGCCTGGGGCCAGTCCAAAGGCCTTAGGGGCCGCATCCGGCCCCCGGGCCTTGGGTTGCCTACCCCTGTCCTAGATGTTGTGAGACTCTGAGCCTCTGCTAGGCCGGCTAGTGGGAATTTGGAGTTTATGGGCATTTGGAGTGATACAAAGTCCCCTAACCCTGCCCATACCTCTGTAATGGCTAATCAGAAGCCAGGATGCAAGCCACAATCTCTCTCACCGGGAAGGTTTATCAGGAACTGATCTGCCAACAAAGATCAGGAATATAACATTGGCTTGGCTGGATATTGTAATCGGCAATTTCACAGCTGGCTAATTCCCTTTGCTGCTGTCTTGCTCGCACTCAGTCACAGGCGCTCTCTTCTCCCAACCCGCAACCTCTCTCTCTCTCTCTCTGTTTTACACATACACACACACATACACAAAACTTACCCATGGAGTCACAGAGCTACACACATAATGCTTGAATGCAGTAGTGGAAAAATTACAGGGACTGCTAGTCCTGCTGAGTTTGGATCCCTGCCTCAAATGTATTTCATTGATACGCACTTTTTTCCTACTCCCCTCCAGCCCTGGCCCTAGGGCTCAAGAGGGCTAACAATAATAAAATATGGGTTAAAAACAAAGGTGTGATTAAAGTATGACATAAAAACAAATTTAAAATATGACAATAACAGAAGATATAGCCAGCACTCAACTGTTTAGATACCCTTTGACAGCAGATGGGCCTCCATGCCAAAAACCCATCTGGAAATAAACAAAATTGAACCTCCCCTCCCATCAGTGGTAGAACAACAAAGACAGAGTGCCAACCAAGCCAGCTCCTTGACCAGCAGTTCCTGAGCAGGCTTTCAGAGACAGTTTGAGATAGGGCCTTCTGGGAGCAATCACTGAGAAGGTTCTCTCTTGCATCCTTGCCAGACATGCCTTCAGGGATGGGTAGACAATGAGAGGACCCTCTTGCCACCACCTGTAGGGTGAAAGAGAACTTGAGCCAAAGCCTAACCTGCGGCAGCTGATGGTGCCCATGTCATTCGTGTAGTGATTCTATTCTGTGTTTTAATAACTTTAAGGGAGCTGTCCAAGGTGCAGCACTGTGGAAAGCTCTTTGAAGGTTCAACCAGAAAAAAATCACTGCTCCACTGAGATGGGAGATACCAGCCACTACTGAGTCTATCAAAACCACAGCTTGGAAAAATTACTTTTTGGACAACACAATTCTCAGAGCCACAGTCATATTACTCTGCAATATCAGTATGCAAAGAGATCTTGTACCACCGTTGAGACTGATATTATAGCATAAGCTTTCATAGACTTGGTCTACTTCCTCAGATGCATGGAGTGAACTGCTTTCCAGGAAAGACCTTTATGTACCAGTTCACTCCATGCATCTAAAGAAGTAGATCAAATCTATTAAAACTTCTGCTATAATTTCTTTTGCACAGTTCCCTTTCCTTAATTTCTATTTGCAAGAAAAACACTCTGAGAATTTTAAATGCCCTTCTCCAAAAGGCAAACCTCTGGATTCCACAGGAATGAAGCCATGACAGTTAAAATAGAATCATAGTGCTATATTTGTATAATGTGAAAGGGCCTATGATCCAAGGAATGAGTGCAAAATTATCACAAACCTGTGTTACAGTTATGGCAAAATAACATCCACCCATCCCTAGCAATCACTACCAGCCCTTGTAAAAGCAGCTAGATTTACAAGCCTGTATTACTATTTTCCTATTGCAGAAGGGCGGCTGTGTTGGAAATGGTGAGAAGCAGAGAGAGTGGGTGAGGGAAGGCATCCTTGTTGAGTTCATCAAGAAGATGAAATTTAAACCAGGGACTTCAAAAGCACCTACCTCTGAAGTAGTGTCAAAAGCACAACTGCAAACAGTTGCACCTCAATCCAAATCTAGATTGGGTGTTGTTTTGCAATCTGGGAAAGAACATGCTATCCCCTGCCACAGTGGAAGTGAGGCACACCAATTTGAATCTGATACTTTATTGACTGGGCAGGGGCAATACTATATTACCAAATCCTTCTATTTATAACAAGATCCTGGGCCAGTTCCAAATATAGGCAGGAGAGAAAGGCAAATTTAGGAGCATCCCCTTAGTGAGCCCTCTGTTGCAACCATATTTGTCCTCACCTGCCTTGCCTCACAGAGGTAAAAAGCAGTCAAGTGAACAACACAGTGGACAGCGACTGCTTTCA